GGAAAAAAGATATTGGCTCACTAGAAGTATAATAGTAGCAATAGTACTTCTTTGTATAAAGGAAGATTAACTTAGAATAAAAGAAAAGGTATAAGAAAACATGACAGATGCAAAACCGATTGGAATTTCTCAAAATCAGCCACAACAAACACAACAGCAACAGTCTCAATCACAGCAGCAGCAACAACCACAAACACAACAGCAGGCACAGCAACAACAATCGTCTCAGCCACAACAAATGATGATTGCAACCCATGATATTCAGCAGCAGCAAAATGTTCAACAGCAACAGCAGCAACCTCAGCAGCCGCAACAGCAGCAAGTTCAACAGCAAGCACAGCAATCAGTACAAGCCCAGCAAGTACAACCACAACAGCAGCTTCAACAGCAAGTGCAATCGCAGCAACAGATGCAAGTGCAGCAGCAAGTTCAGCAACAAGTGCAGCAGCAGCAGCAACAACAACAACAGCAACAGCAAGCTGCCAGTGGACAGCATAATGTGGTTCCTACGCAAGTCCAAGTACAACCACAGGTAGCAGCAATTATGCCTCAACAACAGGTAAACAGCTGTTAAGAGGACAGTTGTAGTAATAGTTATTGACTATAATGACTGAAAATAAATTGTTTCAGGGTGCTGTAGCAGTGTCGATGCAGCATCAACAGCAAGGAGTGGGCGGTGTCTCTATGACATTGTCTGGTCAACAAGGAGGAACAGCTATAACTACTATGGCTGCACATCCACAGGCAGTGCAAGTTATTCAGCAACCTATGCAAAATCAAGCATATCATCTACAGCAACTTTATAATACTCAAGGAACTCCATTACTAATGCCAGGAAATTTGGCTCTTCATCCTGCTGGCATCAATCCTTCCTCTATACAAGTATTTAACTATACTCATGACATTTCCTACTATCAAAATGTGTGAAACACGTTCTAAGTAGGATACCTTTACAGGTCATAACTGCTGGAAAGCCGTTTCAATCCGCTGCCCAGTTAGCACCACATATGTTGACAACAGCGTCAACAGCAGGCCAGGGTGGTGGTCATCCAGGTGCTGGTGGAACTAAAGTGCAAGGTTTTCCTGCAAGTTACTTACCGGTACCAACTTCTGCCACGCCCGGTGGAGGACAAACCCTAGTTTTTGGTCAACTGGGTGTGCTAGGTTCTCCGCAACCTCCGTCTATGCAGCAGCAGCAGCAGCAACAATCTGCAAACAAACAAGATGCAGTACAAAAGGTATCATTATCTTTAATCCAATATCTACTTCATGATTCTGTTAAATTCAGTTCATATTTGATATATATTATGTTTTAAATGTGTAGTATACTACGTGCACAGCAGCGAATGCATCCGGCGGTCGTGGTATGCAGTTTGCACCTTGGCAGTTTACGCCACAAGTTGCTTGGACCGGGTTACAGCCACAAACACTCCTTGCTAATCAGATATTCATCAGGGGTCCTACTCAACCTGATATGTACATACAAAGTCCACAACCAATTCAAGCTCATAACGGTTTGTTCATTAGATACACAGTTATATTAGATAATATTCCCAAGTTTAATTTACTGTTGTGTTTCCATAGCGCTCGCCGCGCAGCAACAAATTCAGGGTGTACAACAGATTGCCGCGGCTGGCGGAAAGCCAAAGGTAATGGATATACAACAACAGCAACAACAGGGTAAGCAGAACATAAGTGGACAACGACCTTTAAATATTTTGCCGTCCTCACTACAAGCGGTACAAGCCGCTAACATACGAGCCGCTAGTTCCGTGTCAACCCAAACTGTTCACGGAGTACCGACGACGGTACATGCACAGGTTACTATAATTAGTATTTTTCTGCATTTTTCGCATTATTTTCAAGCTTGTCTTTTTTTCTATAATGAAGATATTTTTCATATAATTTCATAACTTAGAGTGGAAAAGTAGGCGGTGTCGGCGGTAAAGGCCGCGGCAAACCAGTGCAATCGCCACAACAATCACAGCAACAGTCACAGCAAACAATCCAACATCAACCAGTTTATATTCAACAAAAACAGCAACAACAACAATATCAACAGGCGCAAGTGCAACAATCGCAACAGCAAATTCAGCCCAAACCAATAATGTGTAAGACGAATATTCCGTGCGCTATCCAACAGAATGAACAGATTCTTCTTTATTCAATTGTTACATATTTATAGCAAATATAGCTCTACAACAACAGCAACAACCGGGTGTAGTTCTAGGTGGAGAACGTCCGATTATGCCTGTTGTTTCTGTGGGTGGAGTTGGAGTTGGAGTTGCCACGTCTCAAATGAATCAAATGCCACAATCCACGATGTCTGCTGTACAACAACTACCAATACAGGTATTGGGAAGAACTACCTCTTTTAGTGAGAATCTTTTAAATCCTTACGTCGTATCATGTATATTTTTAGGCAATTAATTCAGCCATCATTGGCGGCCAAATAGTCAGCGGGACACCACAAGTTCAAACTATGGCAAATCAAGCGTCGGATCAGCAAACACATGACAATACTAATTCTACAATAATGATTACGTCGCCCGATCGTAATCACCCAGCTGAATGTTCCTTAGTATTGTCAACTATTGCAAACACTCCAGCCACGAACGAAGATAGTTCCAAATCTTCATTGAAGAAGGACGATACAATGACAATTACGGTAGAAGAAATTACAGTACCTCAAACAGAAACAACAGGTTTGTTTATAATCTGTTTTATCCTGTTTTAAGTATAATTTCATATTCTTCATATTCGTACAAATATTATTTCGTTATCACAGATGGGGACCAATCTAAAGTATCTATGAAGGACGGAGAAAATACGACGGTAAAAGGTGATGAGAAATCGTGTAATAATCCTTTGGCAGGATTGGCGAATACGATCAATTCTATTACAAACGGTGTTAACAGTGAAGAATCGATAGCAACTTCTGTTTCCACACCAGTTACTTCGAATAGTAAACACGTGCCTCCAAAAGCTATGGTGAAACCACAAGTTCTTACCCATGTGATTGAAGGTTTCGTCATACAAGAAGGTAAAAAGTTTATTAATTTTCACTTACATGAATGTATATGTTTTTACATTTAATTGATATTAACATTTCAGCGTCCGAACCATTTGCTGTTAATCGAACTTCATTGAATAATACAGTAAATCAAGAAACTGGTAGTATTCTAAGTCGGAATAGTAATTCAGCATCCGAAAAAGAGGATCACGAAGAGCCTCCAAGTAAGATATAATAATTTTACTACTTATAGATAGTATTTAATTTAAATTATACGAACGTAAAATATATGATATCCATTTTAGGAAAGAAACATGCGCCCAATTATCCAAACGACGAAGACACAAATAATCAAGTTGGGAAATGTGAAGCATGTGGTACCCTAATGGATGAACAAAATGCTAAATTCAAAAAGGAGAAGCGATTTTGCTCTTCAAATTGTGCGAAAAGGTTAGCATATAAATTATTTTGCAACTTATTCTGCAGATTTAATTACAGAACTGTGATTTATAATAAATTATGAATTAATAGTAAAAAGCGCGAAGTTCGGGATCGCGACGGTACTGAGAAGCAATGGTCTGAAATGGAAACTGACTCAAAGAATGACGGAGATATAAAGAAGAACGGGGAAGAAAAGTCGTTGTCAACAACTACTACCACTTCTTCTGTTGATGAAACATTACCGAAAATTAATCCTGTTAAGTGGACGGTAAGAGTGCAACATATGAAATTGTATACTTTAAAGGAAAGTAACTATTATACATACATCAGTTAACTAAATTTGAATTATTTCGCAGGTTGGCGAAGTATGTGATTTTATACGCGGCTTACCAGGCTGTGCCGATTACGCAGAAGATTTTGCTATTCAAGAAATAGACGGTCAAGCGCTCATGTTGCTGAAGGAAGATCACCTTATGTCGGCTATGAGCATTAAATTGGGCCCTGCATTGAAAATTGTAGCAAGAATTGATTCTATGCGTGTGGAATCATTATCAAATTCCAATCCCACATCCAATAGTTCGTAAATGTTTTATTGCTTAAGACTTTTACTCGCAGAATTTCAAATATGCAGCCTGCTTTGGGCTACAGGGTTGATGCAAGTATTTGATCGAAATATGCAGTTAAAATTCTCAAAATGATGTTCTCTGAAACAGAAAAATTATTTTTTTCTTCATTTTATAAAGGATTTTTTTTCTTAAACAATTTAAGAACGATCAAGACATAATACTTTAAGTTGTATTCTTTAAAGATCGATCTTTATAAGACTACTCTAAGTTTCGTACTACTTTGCCATTACATAAAGCAGCTACATTAATGTTTCAAAAAACAAGTAGTTCTGATATACTTTTTTAAATTTAATGCATTATAGTGGCAATTCATATAATTTTCATATAGTTAGTCTTACACTGATTGATTTTTACTGTTGTATATAGTATTGAATTTTTGTGACTCTCCTAGTTTAAGATGTATATTTACTTAAAAGAATTTTCTAAAACATCGCTCTTCGGCTAATATGATCAAGAAACTGAGTACAAATTATGTCCATTACACAAAAAAAGATAGATCGTTGTATATAAACTGTTCGGCATATATACGATGTATTTTGTACTCGAAAAATTACTTTTGGAAGCTGTACAAAAACTATTGCCTTCTGTAAGACTACAGTAGTCTCGAGAGATATCCGGCATAAAAAAGAAAGATTAGGCTTTGTAACAATTTTGTGCATTACAATTCCAAATTGAGCTATGTTTGAAGAAATATGATAAAAACACACTCGACCATATTTTGTAAATGTATCATGTGCACTCAATTTGCATACATGTAAATATTAAACATAAAATGTTTATTTAATATACAAATTTTATAACATGACAATTTTTATT